TCATTGGCGACACAGCCGAAAAACCACTTAAAATACCATCAGCAAGAAGAACAGCTTTTTGTTCCAAATCTGGCTTCATCTACCCTGGAAATAGCATTTCCCCTCAGAATGTTAATTTTTTTTTCAATTTTTTCCTACTTAATGCTTTTTTTACTTGAGTTTCTCCATAACTCATTTAATTTACTTGAGTGAAGGTTTACAAATCATATTTATTTTTCATACAATCATTCATAGACATTTTAATAGCATGAATTAGGATTGATTGTAATAATTAACTGGTTACCATCAACTTTGGAAAGAGGAGTGGCACCCACTTCGATACTAGCTTGCCCCCTGAAACGCTATGAACCTGGAGAGAGGATGATAGACACCCAAGCGTTGAGGACTCTCCTTCATAGGGTCGCTATGAGTCGCCTGGGACTCGACAGCACTTAACAACAACAACCATCAACTACTTATTTTGCATTACCATTTTCTTCGTTCAGCTTATTTCCTTACTGATTTTTCATCCACTTTCCTTCTCATCCCTGTTAAATCCCCAAGCTGGATTTTGTGCAGACCCCTTTCCTTAGATGGAGAATAGTGGCCTTCCACCATAATAGTCCTTTTATGACTCTATGATTTGTTCTAGAGTTATCCTTGTTGTGCAGTATTTCATTATTTTTTTACAGTTTTTTGAGGATACATACTCGTATTTAGATGATATCTCTATGAGGACATCTATTTATGTAAAGTTAACATTTCACTGAAAGTCAAACATAGGTCCTCACTCATTACCATCAAATCAGATCAGACTTCTACCTGACCCTGCAGTGGGATTTATTTCAGAAGCTATAAGTCATACAGGGGGAGATTGTTCGTTTTTCTTCCTAAGAGTAGCTAGTGAATTCTAACCAAATGCCTAGCCATTAGAGCTTGTGTTTCTTCTTGTGCATGACAGTATGGAGAAAATTAAGTGTGAAAGCACAATATTTTCTCTCAAAAGCATAGATTTTGAAAAGAAACGTATTTCCAAAAATTATTGTATACCAAAACATATATAGTCTACAGAGTTGATATAAATATATTCTTAGGAGTTTAAAAAGTGATATAAATATATTCTTAGGAGTTTAGGGTAGAGAAAGATTACCTCCTTGATTGACATTCAGGCAAAGCCACACATGTAAAGTCTTGAGCTGAGTCTTAGAGGATATTTAGAACTGGAGTAAACACAAGTGAGTGGAGAAGGCATTGCCTATGAAAAAAATAACATGAGCTACGGTGTCAAGACAGAAAAGCAGCTCGAGGACAAGTAGACAAGCTGATTGGTACTCAGACCCACCAGAGTCATTGATGGGACCGAAATTCAGTAATTTACGATAGATTAACATATAACAACAAAGTTTAAAAGTTGTTTCATGGTTTTTTCCCTAGAAAATAACTCTAATGACTCCTCCAGTGAAATGCACAAAATTCCTCAGTATAGAATAATCTCACTGATTTCACATGCAAGCAAGATTTTACTGAAGACTATCCAAAAATGACTGGAAGAGCAGCACATCAACAGAGAACTACCAGAAGTCCAGGCTGGGGTTAGAAGGGGTTGTGGTACTAGGGATATTGTAGCTGATGTTAGATGGATCTTAGCTGAAAGCAGAGAATACCAAAGGAATGTCTATCTGTGTTTCATTGACTATGCAAAGGCATCAAACTGTGGCTGACTCTGAGAAGAATGGGAATACCAGAACACTTGATCATTCTAATGCGAAACCTATACTTGGACCAGGAGACAGTCATCAGAACAGAGCAAGGGAACACTGCATGGTTCAAAATTGGGACGGGCGTACGCCAGGGATGCATCCTATCTCCATACCTTTTCAACCTATATGCAGGACAGATTATCCGGGAGGCTGGGCTCTATGAGGAGAAATGTGGGGTCAAGATTGGTGGATGATTTATCAACAATCTGAGTTATGCAGATGACACAACCCTGCTTGCTGAAACTGAAGAGGACCTGAAGCACCTGCTGCAGAGGGTTAAGGACTGCAGCCTACAATATGGATTGAGGCTCAATGTCAAGAAGACAAAGATTCTCACCACTGGACCAATTGGCAGCATCAGGATGGATGGTGAAGAGACTGAGATTGTATACAGCTTTAGTTTGCTTGGCTCCACAGTCAACGCTCTTGGCACCAGTAGACAGGAAATTAATAGGCGCATTGCCATGGGAAAGTCTGCTGGTAGGGACCTCTCCAAAGTACTGAAGAGCAATGGTGTCTTTCTGGAGACAGGTGCGTTTGATACAGGCCATGGTCTTCGCAATCACTTGTTATGCATCAGAGAGTTGAACAATGACCGAAGAGAATAGAAGGAGAATTGATGCCTTTGAGCTGTGGTGCTGGAGAAGAGTATTGAGAATACCATGGACTGCTAAGAAAACAAACAGATTTGTCCTGGAAAGGGTTAAACCGGGTAGATCTTTGGAGGCAAGGATTCTGAGGCTCCGTCTAACATACTTTGGACATGTTGTGAGGAGAGACCGGTCCTTGGAGAAGGACATCATGCTTGGGAGGGTGGAGGGAAGGCGCAGGAGGGGAAGGTCCCCTATGAGGTGGATTGATTCAGTGATTGGGATAATCAGGATGGGAGTGTTGGAGACAATGCGATTGGTACAGGACAGAGCAGAGTTTAGGGCTGTTGTACATAGGGTCACTATGAGTTGCAAGAGACTCGATGGCAAATAACAACAACATCAACATGTGTTGTTATCGTTGCATGCCACAGAGTAGATTCCAGCTCATGCTGACCCTTCATGACAGAATAGTACTGCCCCATAAAGCTTCCTAAGCTGATGTCTTTAACAGGAACAAATCATTTCATCTTTCCTCCCATAGACCTATAGGTTAATAAAAAAAAAAGAAGTTGAAAATGATAAAATATAAACGTCTCACTTCAGAGTTGTTGTTGTTGTTGTACCATGGAGTCAGAAGCAACCCAGAGCTGACCCCTGGTGGGTTTTCAGAGGCTATTAATCACACGGGAGGAGATTGGCCATCCTTCTCCCACGAAGCAGCTGCCCACAGAAAGGCTGGTGGCCTCCTGTTGGTGGCCTCGAACTGCATGGTTTCAGGATTGCAGCACATCTTCTTGAAATTAGGCCACTAGAGCACCATCACTTCAGTGTAGAGAAAGAGAAAACAAAGAAGAAGAAATTATTTTAAAAGAAAAAAAATTTTAAAGCACTAGTTTTACTTGAAAGAAAATCTTAACATGAACAAACAAACTTGATTATAAAGGAAACAATAAATGTCCATGCGAAACATTCCAAGACTTGATAACTTTACATATAAGTTAAATATTTGAAATATTTTTATTGAGAAAAAACAAGATAAATTTTACATTCTATTAATTTATTAACTGGGAAAATGTTATATATTTACAGATGAAAATTTAAGACAAGTGAATAAAGATGTATCATAAACTCCTCAAAAAATAAACCCAAATTGTATCTTACAAATAGCACAAGTTGGTACTTTAGCAAAGCTGTTTACCAGCCCGGGGCACTTTCACAGACTGTTTATTAACAGGCTTAGTAGTAATTGAGGACAATTCCATAAATTATTTTTTATCTCGAGCATGAAGTGTAAGCTGATCCAGCAATTTCTCTGTTGCTCTTGAAAGTTAATAAGATACAAGTATAAAATTAGGAGTCATCCAAGTGGAAGCGGATTCCTACCTGGTAGAAGAAGAAGAAGAATCTTATCAAAATTAATCTCGGACAACTTAGTATCAGGGCCACAATCTTCCTGGATTCACAACCAGAGGGTAGCATCCAGGGAGGAGGTGCAGAACTGGAGCCTCTTCATCTGTCACAGCAACGACTGATAGAGACGAGCAGAGAGACTAGAGAACAATTATGCATCCCACAGTCAAAAGTAAAACAAGAGTATTACATTAGAAAGCAAGCTACCAGTTAACAAAGGGTCATCCTCCACTCTATATGAAATAATAACTAACTCATTGCAGCAGAGTCAGAATTGACTCACAGCTGATCCTTCGTTGGGTTTCTGAGGCTGTAAATCTCACAGAGAGACTGCCCACCTTTCTCCTGTGGAGCTGCTGGCAGATGTGAACTGGCAGAAAGGCACAGACTTGTGGTTAGCAGTGTAACTCCCTATGGAATAAGCCATCAAGGTGAAATAATAGTTTCCATCCTTTCTAGAAAGGAGCCCGGGTGACATCATGAGTTGCACTTCAGATTGATAAGAAAAGGGTCAGTCGTTTGAATCCATCATGTGCTCCACAAAGAAAGACAGGCAATCTCCTCCCATGAAGATCTAAAAAACCCAATGGAGGGCTGAGATGAGTCAGAATTTAGTGAATGGTATCGGGTGACGTGACGGTTGTGATCATTTATGTTAGTATCTTTGGTATGTAGTAGATTAAGTGTTGGACTGATAACCAAAAGGTCAACAGTTCATATCCACTAGCCTCTGTGGGAGGAAAGTGGGTGGTCTTCTCCTCCTGTTGAGATTTATAGCTTCTGTTTTCTAATGGAGAGTTGCTATGGATTGTAAAGGACTCTATAGCAGTGGGGTTTTATTGCTGATGTTGTTTTGTTTTTAATAATTTATGTGAGTTTCTAGATCATGTGCATGTGCTGGTTGCTAACCAAAAGGTTAGCCATTCAACTTTATTTGAATTCACCCCAGAAGAAAGGCCTGGCAACCTACTTTTCAAAAATCATATGGAGTTTTAACTTGACACACAGGAAGTCAGTATGATAAAAATTGACTTGATCACAACTGCTTCATAATTTATATAGTACCCACTTTATGCTAACATGTTCTAATGAGTTGCAAGTTGGCCTCTTAACTGAAAGGTTGATTCTTTCACTTTTTTATTTGTTTCATGACAAATATAAATATATATATTTATATATATACACACACACACTAAGGACTGTGGGGTTTAAAATTTGACATGAAATAATGACTTTCTTTTGCAAATTTTACTCTTAGCAGAAAGAAAGGAACAAAGACAACACTGCTCTTCACCATTTCAGCAAGAGAAGACAAGAACTATCTCTGAAAAAAAGCTTTGTCCAGGAAAAAGAGAAAGACTTGTCACTTCTTGAAGTCAATGATAACAATCAAAGTAGAAATTCCAAAAGCCTTTTTGCAAATGTACAAATACAGCCCAAAGACCACAACACTGACAATAAAGAGAATGTCCACCATGACCTAAAGGTATCCATTTACCCAGAATCCTCTGGGAATAAAGAGGTCAAGATAGGAGATGGTGTGACCAGTGAACTTCACAACCAAGAAGAATACGGTACAGCTGTCATCCAAAATAACATGCAGCATCTAATGGGGACAGTGACTGTAATGAAACTTTTAAGGGAAGAAGATAGAGAAATAAAATCTCAGGCTGTTCTAAACAAAATCTTTGGAGGTGTTCTCTATGCTGATGCTTTTGCAAAAGAGAAAAAGAATAAACAAAAAAATGCTCAAGTTCAGAATATTCCAGTCAAAAACAAAAGCACCCAACACATCCAGCATACTGACTACCTAAAGGGGATCCCCAAAGTCAAAACAATCCCCAGTGATTTTGAAGGCAGTGGTTACACAGAGCTCCAACAGAGAGGGGACAATGACATTTTCTCCTTCAGTGGAGAGGGCCAGCCTTCTGAGGACCTTCCTGGTGAAAGGGATGCTAGTGGTCCTGACTTAGAAGGTCCAGATATTCAAATAGGGTTTTCAGGTCCAAGTGAAGCTGAGACTACTGAATCTGACATGAGAGGACCAGGTTATAATGAGATACCAGAGAAAGTGGGAAATAGCGGCAATACCATTGGAGCCGAGGATTCAACAGCAAAGGAGGTAAACGTTGCTGATGTCAGCCTTGTGGAGGGCAGCAATGACATCATAGGTACTACCAAATTTAAGGAACTCCCCGGGAAAGAAGGAAACAGAAAGGATTCTGGCAGTCAGAACGCTCACCAAGGGAAAGTAGAGTTTCATTACCCTCACGTACCCTTAAAAGAGAAAAGAAAAGGAAGTGGTAGTGACACCGCTAATTTTAATGAAATTCCCAAAAATGGCAAAAGTAGCACTCAGAAAGGTACAGAACATTCTAATAGGAACGAAGCCACTTTACAAGAAAAACAAAGATTTTCCAGTAAGGGTAAAAGTCAGAGTCGAGTGATTTCTTCTCCTGGTCTTCATAATGAAGTTAAAAATGAAATCGGTTCCCACAGTGGTCCCATTCCTGAGGAAAATGCAGCAGCAGCACACAACAGTGGCAGAAAAGGTTACTATATATCCCAAAGGCAAAACAACGCTTCCCGGCGTAAAGATATGTCACAAAGGAAAGACTCCTGGGAGTACAGCGGACACCATTCCAATAGGAGCCCGAGCCCCCGGAGGACTGATGACAGCAGCGAGTCATCAGAGAGTAGCAGCTCCAGTGAAAGCGACGGGGAATAGTCCACTGGGAGGGTGCAGCAGGAGAGAGGTTTGGACAGCTAGCTGGTCTTCTGTGAACTGACCATGTCAGAGAGCCACTGGGGACAGACCACATAAAAAGAGGAGAAGGCAGTGGATTGATAAGCCAAGAAACTTGGTCTCCTTGAGAGAATTTTTAGTATCTTAATAGTCACGGTATGGAATTCTACTCAAAGGTATAGTAAATGTACCTTTTTCTTTCAAAGTCAGAAAACTCAGTAAGGATTTATGGAATAAATAAAATCTAGATAGGTATTATGTTTAAATAGTCTGCAAATGCTTTTCAATACCGTTCACTCTGTAGACAAAAAAATTAACAAAATGTCTCATATGATACTCTGTCATTAAATGGTCTACTGGAAAAGCTATTCTCTGTGGTGTTTCATTCCAAAAACAACAAAATAAGTCCTGCCTCTGGCAAAGGCAGTGCTTGTGAAATTAATCTGGTTGGATCAAGCTTGCAAACATTTCCTGGTCCCTCTCTACTTAAACCAGCTTTTGCTTCTTCCTCAGACATCCCTCTATAAAGACATTCCTATAAAGGCTTTCTGCTTTGAATCGTTTTGTGCACTTTCCTCTGTTGGCTACATATGTATTGCTTCTTATAAGGCAAAAAATGTTAACCTCTACTATGGCAGAATAAAGCTCCATATTATTACTTTTTTCAACTTGATCTCCTTCCAAATAAGAGTAAAAAATGGAAGAAGGCCACAGAAACTGGTCAGAAGGAGAAACACAAAGTCAGATTTATTTTAGCAAATATTACTCATTGGCTGATCCCAAATAATTTTAAACTTGTTTCCTTTTAAGAGAAATGTTTTCCAACAACTGTTGCCATTGAAGCACAATACTAGAAATTAGTTCAAAATCTGAGTAGGATCAACATCTGAAAGGCTTTTGCTTTTTTCCCATAAAAGGAATTTATGACACAGTGGCTACAACAATGAGTTCACACACAACAACAATTGTGTGAATGTACAGGATCAGGTGGTTGTTGTTATGTGTTATTAAATCATCTGTGACTGATAGCTCTGAAGCTTGCCCTGTCCTAACCTAGTCTCACTGACTCCAATACACCTACTCCCATTGCCCTAGTTACTATATCAATCCATCTGATCTGGGTTCTTCCTCTCCTGCTCTGTCCCTCCACCCTTCCAAGCATGATGTCCTTCTCCAAGGACCGCTCTCTCCTGACCACCTGCTCAAAGTATGTAAGAGGGAGCTTCAAAATCCTAGCCTCCAAGGAGAAACTTGGTTTCAACCTCTCCAAGTCAGACTTGTTTTCTTGGAAATCCATGTTCAAGACTCTTCTCCAGCAACACAACTCAAAGGCACAATTTTTTCTTTTATTCTCCTTAGTTATTATCCAGCTCCCTGATGCATACTAAGTAATTGTGAAGACCATGGACTAGATCAGGTGTAACATAGTCTCTAGAGTGACATTGTTGCTTTTTCTCTGGAAAGATCCCTCACAGCAGATTTATCTAAAGCAATTCACCTTTTGATTTCCTGACTGCTGATGGATTCAGACAATGAGCGCTTCATTCTCTTGTTCATAGGGTCACTGTGAGTCAGAACTGAATAGATGACATCTAACAATAAGTGACACTGGCTCTAGTGTGTCACAAAATGTGAAGATGGCACAGGACAGGACAAGGTTCAGATCTGTTGTTCCCAGGGTCACGATGAGCTGTACTTGCCTCAACAGCACCTAACAACAACAATAAATAACACACCATCTGGTAAACCTTCCTTCCTCCTTCCTTCTTCTCTTCTTAGTTTAACATGAACATGATTCCTGGAGCTGCAGCAGCTATTTTGTAGTCATTAAGAAACATATAGAAACACTGAGATATAGACTTGTCTTAGTTATCTGTAACAAAGAATTAGATGGCTTTAGCAAACAAAATGCATACCCTCACAGTTTCTCTCTCTTTCTCACTGTAATTGAGTCAGAACAGACTCATCGTTAACCCTCTATATAACTCTAACAAGAGGAGAGGGTCCTCAGAGTGGTTGGTGCATGCAAACTTGCAGAGAGGTGTGGCTTGGGGTCATCAGCACAGCTCTTTATGGACTGCACTGCCAGAATTCCCTGGGAGATCCCTAAGATCTGAATTCAGCTCTAGAAGGTTCCTTTCTCTGTATTGACAGAAGGAAGTTCAGTTTCTGTTCCTTGTTGACCAATGTGATCATTAAGTGTCACGATGTCTATCTTCCCCATCTATGCGTGTTTATGCTTAACTTGCTCTTTTTATATTTCAAAGAAAAGATAGATTTAACAAACTTTATACTAACATGATCTCATTAACATAACAAAGAAAATCCCTTCCTAAATGAGATTATAACCACAGGCACAGGGGTTAATAATTAGAACATATGTTTTGGGGGAGCAAATTCAATCCGTAATCATTCATAACAGGGCCCCAAGACAATTGTTGAACCAGAATCCTGTCTCCTACCTTCATTCTAAATGACAGATAGTTCCCTATTGGTTTAAACTTTCCTTTATCCTTTTTGGTACTTAAAGCTAACTGAATGAAATTCAAACTGATACTCCTCCCTGTTCCTTGTATTCTCTAAATGAGTAAGGCCACGGAAAGAAAGAAGGGATAAGACATATCTTAGTTTTCTCTTCCCTTTCAGATGTATGACCTCTCAAGTGGTAGTTTATTGAGTAGAATAACAAATGTAGCACAAATAAATGCAAATCAATGCCAATAGAACAATATGACGCCATAAAAAAATTCTAAGCTCTCCTATTATGTAAATGTTGCTGTTGCTGTTGTTAGGTGCTGTTGAGTCAATTACAACTGATAGTGATGTTATGAACAACAGATCAGAACCTTGCCCTATACTGCACTATGGTCCTGATCAGGCCCATTGTTGTCATCACTTTATCTCCTGAAGGGTAGTCATCCTTCACTGGCCCTATAACCTTTCCAGCATGATGTCTTCTTCCACGACTGGCCTCGCCGGACAACATGCCCAAAGTATGTGAGGTGATGTTTCACCATCCTTCCCTCTAAACACCCTGATGATACATCCTCCAAGGCATATTTGTTTATTATTTTGTCAGTCCATGGGATATTCAGTACTCTTCTCCCACACCGCAACTCAAAGGCACCAATTCTTCTTCTGTTATCCTTATTCACTGTCCAACTTTCAAATGCATTGTAAACAATTGAAAAGACCATAGCTTTAATCAGGTACATCTTAGTTTTTAAAATGATGTGGTTGCTCCCTGAACACTTTGGAGAGATCTTGACAGCTGATGTTCTCAATGCCACAGATCTTTTGATTTTTTTTGACTGCTGCTACAATGAGTATTGATCGTGGAGCCAAGTAAGGTGAAATTGTTGACAACTCATTTTTTCTCCATCTGTCATGATGTTGCCTTTTGGTCAGGTGGTGAAGGGTTTTATTTGCTTGATGTTGAGATATAATCCATATTGAAGACTATAGTCTTTGATCTTCTGCAGCAAGTGTTTCAAGTCCTCCTCACTTTCAGCAAGCAAGATCATTGCATCTGTGTAACATAGGTTGTGGATGAGTCTTCCTCTAATCCATCCTGAGGCCATGTTCTTCTTCATCTAATTTTTGAAATTATTTACCGATTGAAAGGTATGGAGTATACAGCCGTTAGGTATATAGCCCTTAGCACATCTTTATTTTAAACCATGCAATGTTTCCTTGTTTTGTTCTGACAACAGCTCTTTGGTCTAAGTATAGATTTGAGAGGAGCACAATGAAGTGTTCTGGAATTCTCTTTCTTCTCAATATTAGCCATAATTTGTTATGATCCACACAGTCAAATGCCTTTGCACAGCCATCGCCAATATAACATAAACAACTATACTTCTAGTATGCTCTGAACTCAGCCAAAATCCATCTGATATCAGTAGTGATTTCCCTGGTGCCAACACCTCTTACAGATCCAATTTGAATTTCTGGTAGTTCACTATTGATTGGTTAATTAATGCCTTAGACGTTGACCTAAATTGTTGAATATCCCATGGATTACCAAAAGAACTCACAAGTGTATCTTGAAGAAAGTGTAAACAAAGTACTCCTTACAGTCAAGGATAGTGAAGCTTTGTCTTACTTCCTTTGGACACCCAGTCCTTCCTGGGGGGGGGGGGAAGATCATGCTGAAAAAGGTAGAGTGTCGTGAAGAGAGGACAACATCTCTATCTGTATCTAAATCTCATTCACTCACTGCTTTCGAGTAGTTCCAACTCACAGTTACCCTCCATTAAGTTTCCCAGGCTGTAAATTTAACAGGAGCAGCTAGTGGATTCAAACCACTTTGTTAAATCTAGAAAATAGTAAATAAATGGGAGGCTGCAGAAATAGAAAAGATACAACTTTCCAATCTTCAGGCCTCATATACATCTACTTCTTCTTGTTGTTGTACCATAGAGTCAAACCGACCCATAACTGGCCAGCTGCTGGGTTTTCAAATGCATTTAATTGCAGGGAAGGAGATTGCTCATCTGCCTCCTGCAAAGCAGCTGGTGGCCTTGAACCGTGTGCCTTTGGAGATTGTAGCACAGCTTCTTGTCACTAGGCCACTGCAACTAAATAACTGGAAAGACTTCAGCATTCACCACGCATTGTTTTGGAATGTAGATACAGGTAGGTTAGGTCAGGCACAGAAGGACCATGGCTCCAGATAGACAGCCCGCAGTCAGGTCTAAGCTTTATCCAAACCCAAACGTCAGCCATTTCAAATAACACATTCAATGCCTCTAAAACTTGCTGGGGGGTCAGCTATGGGTCTTTTCTGAATCTACAGTACTCAACAATAATAGTTAAGTCAGTTATGACTCACCTTTCTGTTGTTATGTGCCATCCTGTGGACTACGACTGCTAGCGCCTCTATAACAATACCTCTAAGCCCTGCCCTATCTTGAGCCAATCTCATAGACTCTGACACACCTGACTCTCTACCCTGACTCTCTTAACAACATGCCCAAAGT